GGACCGATTCTTGATCAGGACTGGCGCGGGGACGGGTGGGGATGTCCCCGTGTTTCAGCACTATTTGCACACATTTCAAAAAATGCTGGGACTTGGGACTCCTGGATTTCATTCCAGTCTCTGGACAAGTGTCTTTCTAGGGGCACAGACTCTTCTGTCCATTTTTAGGCAGAATGCTTAGGATTTGTTCATATTTGGCTGGATTTTCATGGCAACATCTCTCACACAAAAGCCACTCCTATTCCAAAGTTCAAGTCCTCACTTCAAAGCGTGGAACTGGTACAGCTTTTCAAAGGAAGGCTCCTCAGCGTTTAAGATTAGTAAAACAATGTATTTTTCCCTGCAGAAGAGTTTCAGCTGAAATTTTAAAAACAAATACATGCATAAATCACAATTTAGCCCGAGACAGACGCCCAGCATGGACAATTTCAGCCAGAACATTTAAAGTTTGGCAAAGCTGTAAGAGACTGAAAATCGTCTCATCATGTGAACTGTGTGGCATACTTCATGCGAGGCGATATTATCAGCTGTAAGTAATCCAAGCTGCACATGTAATTCATAGACATAGATGTTTGGGAAGGAAAAAACAACTTTAATAGATCAATTAGTGCTACGTCCCAGCCTGATCTGAACTATTGAACAGAAAACCACAAAATCTGGTATCTGCTTCAGCAAAGGACTTAACACTGAAGTTCCCCAAAATGCAAGTGAATCATTTAGCTACTGGCAAATATATTTAACTACATGTAGCTGAATTTCCTTGAGACAGACTATTCAGTGACTTTTCAATACAGCACCACTCTACTTTCTTGCATCCAATGATTATGCATTGACTTGATGTGCTAGAAATTTCCCTATCGGACATATGCAAGAAACCAGGGAGACCTTTTGTTTGGTAGTGACCTTATAGCATAAAATTACAAAGTAAATTGCAGTATTTTTTATAAGGTATGAAATTATCCTTTAACCCTTTAAAGCAGATGTTAGCTTGCTATACCAACAAGGAGTTAGTCTATCCACGGTACATTATTATCTTTAATAATTGGAAGCGATTGGCCAAAGTGCTGTAAACCTGGCAGAAATTTGTTGCCTTGTTTTCTGCAAACCACAAGCGCAGCTTATTAATTAAGAAAAGAACATTAACTGGCATTAGCTGGCATCTGTAAACTGAAAAAGAGAAATGACCATGGTACGCATTCAGCTGTAAACGGTAGAGCTGCAAAGCTGCTACAGGTAAAATCGTTTTTTAAGTGCAAATGCAAAGCCATTTTAGTCAGCTGCTGGCAAATGCCCAAGTCTAGTGTTTTAATGAGGCTTCTGCATCAAAATAAGTGAAACCACATGGAATTTTAATTGTTCTTACTCTAAATATGAAACACACTGGAGCAGTATTCTTGAATCTAGGATGTTAGCATATATATTGGCATATTAACATTACCCCTTTTCTATTCTAAACGTATAGCTCTCAGAAAACTTCAGTGCCCAGTTACGTTAGGGAGGAATCAGCTTGGAAGATTTAAAAACAGTTTAACCTGGGCTCCTTCAGATGTAAAGGCAGGGTTTTTTTTAAATATATGCTGGGTTTTTTTTTGGTATTGTCAAATGCGGTGAGTTGATCAGACTGTGCAGGGAAAAAAGATGACTTGCTGTGCTGGTTGCCGTGTTTCTTTTTCTGGTGGCACAAAAGAAAGTCTCTTCTTTATACAGAAGCGTGGTTTTGCAATCATGCGGCCACGATGTGGGGTGGAGGATCTGTGCTTCACCCATTTAATACAAGCTATCACGAGAGTGGGAATTCACAGATGCAAATGGTTTTCTTGCTCTGACGGAGGAAAAATTAGCATAAATCTTTAATCCTGCTGGGAGAGGAATAAATAAATTATTTACTTGCACTGTCATGTTACTATATTGCTGATTGACATCGCTGTTTGTGCTCAACTAGATATACAAAGATGGGTGCCATACCCAGAAAAGCTGTTTATGTTCCCAGTCCAATAAAGAGCTAAATACATATAAATGAATATGCATCTGGTGTTTGCAAGCTAGAACCAAAATCAACCTTAACACAAGGAGGTAACGCAGAGAGAGGAGGAGGAGGAGGAGGAGAAGGATGAAAATGCATCAGTGAGATTGCATAGCAATGAGGACGGCAAGAAGCTGAGTTTTAGAGGTGACTTCAAAAGTTCCTAGACTCATTTAGAAAAAAGACTTTAGAACATAATTTTTTCTGATCTCCACAAATATCTTTACACAACAGAGATACAGAAGATTGGGAACATATCACAGTCTAGTGCAGGGAGTTAGGGAGACAGCAAAAGGAATTTGGGCAAAAGAGGGGTTGAAAAAGTGGGTGTGCGGGAGCCGTGCAGACACGTCCATGAGTGAGATAAGAGAAAGGGTTATGGTTATTTAGCTTTTGGGTAAATAGGATTGTGCTTTACAAGCCACAGTAAAAACAAACAAGTGTGGATTTACTAGGGTATGTAAGGAGGTCTGTAGCCCCATGTTAGAAATGCCTACATGTTTTGTGCACATTCCCAGTCATTCGACACACACGTGATCTCTCGACACCCGTACAGATAATATTTGGATCCAGCCCTGAGAAGGAGATTGCCTTTTAATGTGTAGAAATGTGTTTTGTTATTTAAAAAAAAAAAGTATTGGTTGCAAAGAAACTGAAAACACTGATGTTCTTCTACACCCTTACACTCAGACCAATTCTACTTTGATTATAAAAGTCTTGTTTAGCTTCTATCAGGGTAAACTAAGACCAACTCTGTTCATGTTGGGAGAGTTGGAATAACAATAACAAAAAAAAAAAAAAAGAGAGTATAAGCAGTAGCAGATTGAAACTCAGTATTTTGAGCAGCTGGGGAAATTATGTTCTAACCTTATATTTCCAGATACGTATCAGACCTGTTCACAATATAAAGGATAGTGTTCCAAAATTACAGCTTTGAATCTGGGTGGTATCGCCTCTGGCTATTGTTTGCAGTTGGGAACGAAAGATGTTGCATCAAGTAGTAGAGTGTTTGCTGTAAAGGTACAAGTTATATTACATTCCACGGTGCTGTGGTTGGAGGGGTTGATGATGGAGACAGACCCATTCACCCGTAGGTCACTGATTCGGTTCCAGATAAAGACAATAGTAATCACATTGTCAGCAGAGTTAAAAATGGGCTTTTACAGCCCATTTAAAGCTCTGTACTCTGTATCTTTTGAGACGATGGGTTACAGTCCCCAGGTTTCAGGCTGTGTGATTTTGACGCTTGGCTGGCTGTGTCCCAGGTCCTTCAGCTGAACCCAAGCTGTGCCTGAGCTTTGCCCTCCTGCCACTTTTAGATATCATTGAAGGCGTGGGTTAAATGAACTGGTGGAGCAGGAGAGAATAGTGATCTGAATCACAAAATGTGCCACACAAGGTGACAGGGTCTGTTGGGTCTGTGGCTTATGGTAGCGACCACCATTGTGGGTGCTATAGGAGGCCAAGCGCAGAAGGGCTGGAGGGACCTTCCTTCTACAAAGCAGCATCAGCAAGTCAGATCTGAAGACTATCTGCAAGAAAAAGCATTTCTTCACCTTATATTGAGGATACCCAGAGTGTTTCAGTCTTTAGCACGTCAGTCTGGCATCTAGAAGATGTCGTACTTTTTTACTTTTAGGTAAAGATCCAGTAGATTGACAGAGATGAGTGAACCTTTGGATCTAGAGGACCATAAAGCTGTAGAAGTGTTGACTGGGAAGTGCAGGCAGAGCCCATTTGACTTCATGATTTTTCCCCTTTATTTATACCCCGCTCTTTTCATCTTTCTTGCTATAAAAATGTATATATATATCTACTGCATACTGGCCTATGCATTTCTCTTGCACTGTACTCCTGCATTAGGTTTTTTCTCTTTCCCCCTGTCCTTTTTCCCACATCCTTCTTATTTTCCACTTTTCTGTCTCTCAATGCAAGCTTTCACCGTCTTTTTCTTCTGCTCCTGTCCATCCCACAGTCTCCTAAGCAGATCACCAAGCTACTAACATTTGCTTTCCAGTTCTGCTCTGAAACTTTGGGTATTTGATGTGGGATTAGAAATTAGGCAAAATGAGTTTAGCCGTCCCTGTTTTGCGTTAGACTCCAATTCACAGCGTTACCATCCAGACGTTCACAGTAGCCATAAACTCTGTGGTCTTTTTTCAACCAGACTGCACAGGCTACATATAAAAACAACTTTTTTCAATGGCAAAGAGTGTTGGGCTGGTAATTTTCCATTGACTGCACTGAAAAGTAAAATTTGAATCTTTGCTATCAGCTCAGTGGCTTTGCCCATCTTTCAGATGCAGCAAATAATATTTTTTGGCCATAGGAAGTAGCTGAGCAGAAACTTACCTAAATAAATTGATTTAAGGCAAGAAGTGGGGCTTATTCATCCCCGGTGTAACTCCTCTGGTGTCAGTGGTGCAACTAACTCGGTGTTGCCAACTCTTGTGGTTTTATTACGAGTTGGACGGTAATTTCTGCTTTTCTTGAAACATGAGTTTTCGACGGTGTGTGCTGAGGTGGGAATCTCAGCTTTTGTGTGCAATCAGACCTGAGTTTCTCGAGAGGCTATAGCAGAAACCCAGAGACACGTAACCCTCAAAGCTCAGAAACCAGAAGGCAAATCAACTCCAAATCCACCTTTCTATTTTTGGCTCTTTTTCAATAATCTCTTGATTTTTGAGATTATTTTTTTCCCCGACCTGACTTGTGACTTTTGTACACTTCGGGTTGGCAATGCTGCTCCCTCCATTGGCATCGATGGAGTTAGACCAGGGATGAGTTTGGCCCAGCGCTTGTAGAAGACAAGTGTATGACTCTGTTCCTTGCAATGTATTATTTGATATGATCTGCTGTTCTCTTGGGGGCCAAAAGAAGTGGGTTTTCTTAGAAAAATAAAATTCTATCATCACTTGATAACAAAAAATGGTATTTACAGAATTGTTTTCCCCCGTCTTTTGTTATAATTTTTTAGGTGCTTCCGAGCTGGGCCCATTTTCAGATCCCAGGCAGTTCACAAGCATTTCATCCCTCACTGAGAGCCGCTTCTCCAACCCACGAATGCACTATCCAGCCACCTTTACCTATACACCGCCAGTCACCTCAGGCATGTCACTGGGTATGTCCGCAACCACTCACTACCACACCTACCTACCACCACCCTACCCCGGCTCTTCCCAAAACCAAAGTGGACCTTTCCAGACCAGCAGCACTCCATATCTCTACTATGGCACTTCATCAGGATCATACCAGTTCCCCATGGTGCCAGGAGGGGACCGCTCCCCTTCCAGGATGCTTCCTCCATGCACCACCACGTCCAACGGCAGCACGCTGTTAAACCCTAACTTGCCCAACCAGAGTGATGGTGTGGAGGCAGATGGCAGCCACAGCAGCTCCCCAACCGTCCTGAATTCTAGTGGCAGAATGGATGAGTCCGTTTGGAGGCCGTACTGAGATTTCTTCTGTAGCCGGCCTGACCTCCGCGAGCCAAAAAAAAAAAAACCAAAACCAAAACCAAACAAACGGTCGACTAACTACGAAGTGCCTGTTTTTTGTGTTAAAAAAAAAAACAAAACAACATAGATTTTACCGATATGTGCAACTGTGTAGATGGGATGATAATGGCCATAAATAACACCACAACCCATGTTTCAGCTTATGTGGATCAAAGCACATATTTTTTATTTTTTTTTCCTTGGAACCATTTTACCTTGTTTTATATTTAAAATGTACTTTTTACACACACAAAAAAACCCACCCCCTCCTTTTTTTTTCTTTTTTGTTTTTAAAAATTTGTTTGTTTGTTTGTTTGTTTTGGTCTAGAGTATTGTAATAACTAGTGAGTACTTTTGCCAATGAGGAGAGAACAGACTCCCCGGCTATCAGGAGAAACATGGTGATGCAAGGCAAAGGCTGCATTCCCTTTTATTTTTTAAAAAAGACAAACAATCTAACCATGAACTCCAGGTACAGTTGCAATCATACAGTGTATGGGACCCTTGTCACACTCGTAGTGCAATTCAATGGCTTGTATTGGTGCACATAAAAAGGAAAGCGAAGATCAAGTTGCTTCCGTTTTGCCATGATACATTCAGATGAAAATAGCCGTCCCAAAAAACTCTGTCTGAGCCTTGCTGCAGATAACAGTCAGAACTTCTCTGTGTTCATTGCTTTTTTGGTTTGTTTTTGGGTACTTAAAGAGAACAAGTCTTCAAGTTAGGCTAGACAACCCTGGGGTTTCCTTTTTGCTTTTGTATCCATTCATTTTGCCTTCGATTAGCCAAAAACCAAAAATAACAACCAAAACCTTTAAAAACAAAAAGTAAAATATAATTACTTATGCAAAATATGAAAATGGCAATATATATTACTAGAGCCAAAACGGTATACATAGTATTCGTGTTCGTTTGGCTATGTTCTTTTTTTTTCTTTTTAAATTATAAATGTGTAAAATTTGAGGTTGTTTGCTAACATGAATCATCATATAACTTTAAAAGAATATTTATAATTATTTAATGACATTTGGACCCTTTAAACGTTTCTTAATGTAATGATATATTGACTTCGGTCTCTAAAAGTGTTTTTGTTTTTGGTTTGTTTTTTTTTTTCACTTGTTACGTTTCTGCAATGGTGTAAACCTCAAACCTTTACCCAACTCTGAAAAGCAGTTCCAGTGTGAACCAGTTTACAATGTGACTTAAAAACGACAAACCCAACCCAAATGCATCCACATCAAATGATTTTGGATGTAGGATCTTTTTATATAACTTATGAAGGAAATATTGTGTTTAAAATATTTTTATTAGCTCTCTGGTTGCCTTCAACACAGTCTTGCCTTTTAATCAGTAGTTTTGGAGACACTGGAAAAAGAGTAGGAAGGATGAAATATTTTCCACCCTTCCCCTGATTTCTTCTTCTCCCAGGAGTTTTCTCAGAACTCCAAAATTTGAAAATATTCATATTTAAATTGTTCTGTTTTGACAGCATGATTTAGATTTCAACTGTTTGTTGTTTTTTTTTTTCTCCAAAGAAAAATCAAAATAGTGTCAAAGCCCGTATTTTACAAGTAATGAATTGTTAAATATCTCAGAAACAGGATTAAGGGAGAATTGGTGAAACTTTTTCGCCTCCCCTTGCAATTTCAGCCCACTCGATGGAATAAAAAGATTCAAAACTTGAGACAGAAACTGCCTGGCAGCGCATCACCGCCCGTCAGCATTAAATGCTGGAGCCATAAGGGCGCTGTGTTGGCTTTGGAGCCGGTGGGGCTGTTGCCGTATTAGAGAGACAAGCCCAAGGGCAGCGATACTCACCTCTGCAAATGCTGAAGATAAAAAGTCACCTTAAAAGCCACCCCGGGGCTCCCAGGCACAATACAGGGAGAGCAAATTGCACCCAAAACCCTTAACCAACCTGTCTGCCGCCAGACTTTCCAGCCGAGGGGCCGGAATTTTGCCCAACCCAGGGCTGCTACGGCAAACGGGGAGGTGATGCAGCATCGACTGGATACGGTGGGAGCTGAACGGCTCTCCCGGCGCTATCCCCAAGCAGGTGATGTTCAGCCTGGTTTAGTGGGATGTTCAGCACGTGCTAATGGAGTTTGCCGGCGCTCCCTCCTTCCCCTGCCTTAGCCATCGCCGTCCGCAGCCTCCTTGGGGGGCTGCCGGCCACCACGCTGCTCCTTGGCTGTACTTTAGATACCTCCAAAGTATCGCAATAAATCAACGGTGGGCATAGCCATACGGAGATGGACAACACCCTCACCGCTCGTTAATAGCGAAGCTGTTAAACGAGTTGACATTAGCATGGTACATCCCTCCGATTTGTGTGATGACGTGCTCTTAAAAAAAAATAATTAATAAAGTCTTTGCCTTCTAAAGGTTGTGTACCAAGTATGCTTAAAATATAAGTAAGACACTTTTTTTTTTTCTTCTAATACTTAGTTTTCCTTCAAAGATGGAAGCTGTAATTGATTCTATTTATTGTTGGTTTGTGGTAGCTTGAAGCATACCACTGTCCATTTATTTGTAACTGTAAAATACGTTTGTTAGTCTCAGCAGCACTTAAAAAGCCAGTGTCTGGTTACACATTTCAGTTTTGTTTTTTGTTTAGTAAGCAAGAGAAAAAGATGTACTGCCAGTGCAAGCTGTTTCCTATTTAATAAAAGGTACTATATTTGTACATTATTTGTTATTGCTGAGAAGGGCTTTTTAAGGTTTACTGTATGCATATTAAGTAATTTTTAGGGTGCTTTTGTGTTGAAATGTTGTTAAGAGTGGCTGCAGGCAGCAACCCAGATTTTTTTCTCGTTTTTTTTTTTCTTGTATTTTTTTTTTTAAGACTTTGTTGTAAAATTCAAGCACTTGGTTTTTGTTTCTGGATAAATCCAGCACAGACCAGACTTTTGTTTTGCTCAGTACCGACAGGACTCTCTTTGTGTCCCTGCGGTTTTTCAACTGGACCATTAGGGACAGACATGAAAACAGTTTCTCTGCCCGGTCGAGGCACGCGTGCCTGTTCTGTGCCCTCGGCTTCCCCGGCTGTGCAGGCAGGAGTCTGGCTCTGCCTGCTTCAGACAGGAAGGAAAGGATTTTCTAAGTACCTATGGACGGAGGAGCACGAGCCCCTTGACTTTCGGTAGACCCCTGTGCTCTTGAACCCTCCTGGTGCCTTTGGCAAATCTCTCCTGATACGCCAGGCTGGTCACGGAGGGAGTTGTACAGGCTGAGGCAGAGACACTCATCAAAGCTTTCGAAAAATGCTTCTGAGTTCACTTGGAAATGCTCTTGAATCAGGATTTCAGACCAAAAAATCCCCAACTGACACTATGTGGTTTATCATGCCAGATTATTTGACCTGTTGCAAGATACTTAGCATCAACAGAAAGGAGTTTTCTCAAAGGTACGACAGCCCTTCCCTTTGATGAGTGGCAATCTTTTACACTGGTCATAGATTTAAAGATGGAAGAATGGCCTTTTTTCACTTTCCAGCTCTCATATCCTACCAAAGATTTACTTCCAGCACAACAGGCACAATGTCCCTTCTGCCGAACGGAGCATTAAATCCTCCTCTCCCTCCTCCTAAGAGTAACCAGATTGGGGTCAGTGGGTTGGGACAGATGAGTAAAGCAAATTATTTAACCCACAGCATCATTTGCGTGGCGTTTATCATTTCTTTTAAAAGACCTGCTGCTGTGTCTTTCTTAGCGCTGAACTTTTTTGCCAGCAGTCCCCCAAGCAAAGATTTACCCAGGTGCCATCTTGAGTGGGGAAAATTTTGCACTTTCACACTTAGCAAAGCAAAGCCCGGCCCCGCTCCGGGCTGCGTGCGGCCAACAAGCCATGAGCAAAAGCAATAATTAAAGCCTGGATCAGCCATGAGCTCAAAGAAGCCCCATTCTCTGAACCCCTGAATTTTTCTTGTCGTTTTTAAATAGAATGCATTTCATTTTAACATTTTCTGAGAACTTTTTTAGATGTTTGTTTACTTCCATGTTTACAGATAACTCTTTGCTTTTTTTTTTTTTTTTTAATGCAATACTTTTAAGTATATCAGCCAAAACCATACTTTTACAGTAACTTTTGTTTTAGGTAATACGAGTGACATTCCAATTTTTTTGTTGTTGTTAAATATGCTTTACCAGTCTTGAATTTCCGCTGGAACAAAGTATTTGTAGCATTTTGTGTAAATACAAGCTTTAATTTTTTTATTTTTTTTTTAAATGCTGTCACCCAAGATTTGCTTTTCATGCACATATTGTACAAACACACTCTGCTTTATGCCACAGCCGATGATTGTGGATCAGTTTACTTCAACTTCAAAGGGACTATTTGTATTGTATGTTGCAACTGTAAATTGAATTGTTTGGCATTTTCTCATGATTGTAATATTAATTTGAAGTTTGAATTTCATTTTCAATAAAATGGCTTTTTTTTGTTAATGTTCTTCTATGCTTCTTTTTCTTCTGCTGTCTCCTCTTAGCACTAGGCGGGGTAAAGTAAGTACGTGGTAGGACACAGTACCATCCCTTCCGTGGTGGCCCCATCCATTTCTGCAGTACTTAAATTTCCTATTAAATAGGAAAAGCAAGTTTCCAGGCCTATGGGTGGTAAAAGACACCTTCTAAATCTGATCTCAAACGTTGCTTCTTTTCCTGAGTCTGCAAACTATCAAAACCTCTGTTTCTTAGAGGAGTACAAACTGCTCCATTCATCTTGCTAGATCATCAACTCTGAAACCTAACAACTGACATAAGTGAGGACATTCTGTACTAGGATGCTGTGAGCAGAGCTTGAAGTATAGGAAAAGCTGGGATAGATTTCCCAGTCAGGGCAGGGGAGGGATTGGGATTTATGGCGCTTTTCCAGGAGGGGGATTGCGCTGTCCCCACGTCTTCCTGGTGAGACCTGAGGAATGCGGTTACAGATAATCTTGTGATTTGAATGGCCTGAGGC